CCTGGAAAGGCCAGCGGATTTGAACCATTGACCTTCTGCTTAGCAGCCAAATGCTTTTACCACTGTACCACCAGAGCTCCTTATTATTAACAACAGACTAATTAAAATATCAGGAGCTCTGGTAGCATAGTGCCTAAGGCACTTGACTGCTAACCAGGAGGCTGACGGTTCAAACCCACCAGCCACTCCTCGGAAGGAAGGTTGGGCAATCCTACTTCCGTAGTGATATTGCCTCGGAAACCCAAGGAGGGGTCACTATGAGTCGGGGCCAATTCGATGGCAAATAACAACAACAACAACAATTAAAATATCATGGACCAAAATACTATATCACCAACCCATTGCAATGTCCTACTACATGTGCCCACCCTGTGCTAATTGCTTTGCCCCTGAAATTTCAAGTAATCCACCTAACAATCCTATGAGGCTAATTCTATCAGCCGCATCTGCGGACGAGGCTTTGCCAGCACAGCAGCAACACCTGACTTCTCTGCAATCCAGATGTTCTATAAGGCCTCAATGTGACAACACACATGAAAGTCAACAGCAAAGTCCAGGGCAATGAGTAGGGAAAGAGACTAGAGCTACAGACAAGTCACGGGGGTTATCACCTCACAAGTTTCTGTCCTAGGAACTGGAAGAAGTACTGGAAGAAGTTCACTGCCAGGTGAACACCATAGCTCATGTTTTGTGGGCTTTCCTGGGCCAGCCCCTGCTCAATGGCACAGAGTAAATGCTGGCAGAGTTGTGGGCCTGCTGGGACAGTGGGACATAAGCCCCGCCCTCAACGTGGCTTCAGGATCTCTGGCTCAGAGTTGGCATTACAGTTAACACTCTGCCAGGCCTGGCCAAGCTGAAGCAGAACTTGGAGGCCAGGGGAGGAGAGGGACTCTGGGAGACAGCCAGCAACGGTTTGCTGTTCATGAAACAATGAATCCACTGTTGACTGGCCAGAGCTTCAACTAATATTTACAAGAGGAATGAAGTGGAAAATTCCACTTGTGTGGGCAGAGCCTGGGCTTTGCCCAGGACAGGTCAACAATCTTGATTACCTTGTTCTCTCACCAGGTTGGATGAGGCAGAGAGACATAGGTCTGAACAAACAGAACCTGGGGTTGGGCTTTACTCTCAGGTCACAGAGATAATATTAATTTGTTGGGTTTATTATTGTACTGCCTACTCCCCCCCCCCTCGCCCTACCCCACTAAATTTATAAAACATGTTTACATCCTTCACCTTAGTTTACTGGAAGGAGTGGACTCTTTTCTGAGTCTCCCAACAGACCTGACAAGCAGATACAAATGGAGAAACTGAGGCTCCAAGAAGCCAGGAGAGTCACCCAAGGGCATCAGCTGGTGAGTGAGTGGCATTCTAGAACCCAGGCATCACAATCCCCAGCAGCACCACAGAGCCTATCCCAGGGAGTCTGGGGTCAGAGGTCTCAGTTACTAGACAGAGAAGCCCTCCAGGCTCCAGCAGAGGCCCTGTCTGCTGCCCTCTGCTCCAAGGAAGAAGACCCAAAGCAGCTCTCGAAAGTGGGTTGGCTTAGAAGCCAGCCTTGGAGAGGAAGGATACATTCCTTCATTCATTCCTTACTCACTCGAACACTTAACAAGCACCTACTCGGCATCCTGGATATGAAAGCCTGCTGCATGGGGCACCTCTTTCAAAAGCCCAGATCTTGCCAAAAAAAAAAAAAAAAAAAGATCTTGCAGAATCATGACTGAAGGGAAGAGGTCAGAGTAAACCCAAAGGCTGCTTCCCACATGGTCTCAAGTCACCTCATATAGCTATCTATCAGTACCCTGTTTCACCAACCCCATTTACAGAAAAGGAAACTGAGGCTCTGAGAAGGGAGTGACTTCTTCAAAGTCACAGAAGAACGAATCTGAGACCTCTGGTCCACAGTGGCCCTGCCTCCTGTTTCTAAAGCCACAAAGTTACTGAGTTTAGGAATTCAAGCAAATCATGTCCCTTCCAGCAGACTACCATGGACATTCCATGTTTAATCCAATAAGGAACACTTGTTAAAAGGACGTTATGAGCTAGGAGAAAAACCCCTGAGGAGACAGGCACACCTCATTGGCCTATTGAGATCAGGAGCCGGGTCTGCAGGGCCCACCTCATACCCTCTCCCCTGGCTCCCATCCCACAGTTCTGTCTGCATAGCTAGCTGTGGGCAGTACTCCTATCCCCGAAGCCCCAGAGGGCCAGATGGTGTCACTTCTGTGCATGTACACCCCCAAACGTGGAATTAGAGTGGCGGGGACCCACTAAGGCTATTCCTGACTTGATGCACAGTGCCCCCGGCACAGGTCCCCCCAAAGCTTTCTGCTCTTTCCAGCCACATGCTGAGCTACCTCTGTACTACCCTTGTCTCACCCTTCCTCTCTCCTCTACCCACTAGCTGCTTCTACTGGAGAAGGAATCTCAATCTCTGTCTTTCTTAAAGAACCCCGTACTCCCATCTCTGAGCTCACTTCCTCACATGCCCATCTTGTCCCCTCTTGCCATGGTCACCCCTAACTGCCATTTACCAGATCCAGGGACCTGCCTCAGGCCAAGCCACCCCTGGTCAGTCCTGTTTGACCCCACAGGCTGTGTCCTCACCCCTAGGTTTTCCTAGAGCAGCCCTCCTAATCAACACCTCCAAGAAGCTCTCCTTCCCCAGGGCCCTGACCTCTTCTCTCCACCAACATGAGGATTTAATTCATCTCCATAAATGGCTGGGAGACCTGGGTGGTGCAAATGGTTATGACCTTGACTGCTAACCAAAAGGTTGGAGGTTCATCTACTCAGAGGTACCACAGAAAAAAAAATCAGTCACAGAAAAAAACTCTGTGGAGCATAGTTCTGACACACATGGGGTTGCCATTAATTGAAATCCATTCCATGGCAACTGACTTTGGTTTGGTGTGGTTTGGTTTTGGTTATAAATGGTTGACTCATAAGCCTCATCTCTAGGCCTAACCTCTGGGTCCCTGGTTACCCCAAAGCTCTGTCTCACACTGAATAGTTCCAAGCTCACCAGATCAGGGCCTGTTTTGGCACCTGCCTTTAAAACCAGCACCAGCTCAGAGCATAACACATGGCAGGGGCTCAGACATTTATGGAATAAATGCACTTTGATTATAGCTGCCTCCTTACTGGTCTCAGAGGGACTACTACCACCCCTCACCCCTGCACACCCACCCATGCTGCTCTTCTAAAACTGAAAACTGACTAGGGCTTAAACCCCTCCTGTGGTTCCTCAGTATCACAGGACAAAGGTCACAATTTCAAGCTGGCAGACAAGGCTATTTCCGTCTGTCCTTCCTCGACAAAGCACATGGCCCTGGACATCTCTCTGCACCGATCCTAAGTCCAAGAGCACACCCTTATATCATTCACCTTTGCACCCCCAGTACCTGGCAGGAAGCCCAGCACCCAAAAGTTGCTTGCTAAGAACATCATGTTTTTAGAGCCAAAACTGACCTCTGAGACCACAAGACCCAAAAGCAACTCAGAGAGGTTGCACAAGAGACTCAAAGAGGCCTAGTCACAGGCAGGAAGTAGTGAGTGGCGACAACCTCACCTGAGTCAGAAACCAGAAACCTTGGTCAGAAAGCAGACCAATCCTCTGGAAACGCCACCTGCAACCCCAATATATGAGCCAGAGCTCTCTGCCGGCCTTGAACCTGAGAACTGGCACTAGTCCATGCTCACATAGTAGGGCCTCAGAAAACACAGCCTGCTGGATTCAGGACATTCTCTCCAGAGCTGACAACTCAATCCGTGAGTCCCACGCTCCATCCCTCGTTAGGCCTGGTTCTTCACATCTGTAGAATGGAGCTACCCCAGGCTACAAGTTTGAGACCTGTCGTTTGCTAATCGAGGGGGCTCTGTGACTCCACTCTTAGCCCACCTGGTTTTTTAATCTCCAAACCGTTTTTAATTTCCAAACCGCCCCTCTCAGGGTAGTCTCTGGACCACCCGCACGGAGTGGACCCAGAATTTGTATTTCTGGCAGCAGACCTGGGCACAGTGAAACTTGAGAACCACAGCTCCAAACGGACAGCGCCCAGGTTTCCGCCTTCGGAGCCCAAAGCTTTACCAGTCAGACTTCATTTTGTGGAAACTGCATTTACCAGTACACCCGGGGGTGAAGTTGTTGTTGTTGTTATGTGCCATCGAGTAGGCCCCGACTCATAGCGACCCCTCCTTGGGTTTTCGAGGAACTTCTATTACTGTAATAATATATAACTTAGCTCCTGCAACGAATTAATTCCCTCGAAGAACTTAAGTTTCAACTGATCCCGTCCCATGGCTTTTGGTTTCCGTGGGCTTGGTCACTGAGTAAAGCGGGGCCCCAGTTTTAGAACAGGCCAAGGTCCTCCGGACCCACCAAATGTTCTGCCTACAGCCGGCCAGGTTCCGCGTCTGCGGCCCTCGAGCTGTGGGGGGTTGGGGCGGTGTCACTGCGGGACGGTTAGGGCGGGAGGTCTGGCGCGTTCCCGGTTACTCACCTCGGAGCTCGGCCCGAGTGCCTGGAGCGTCAAGCTGGTGAGGAGGAGGAGCGCCAGGAGGCAGCGGCCGGCCCTGCCCCGTTGCACTTTTAACTGGCGGCGCCAGCGTACCGCTCTCTCCGCGGGCTGGAGAAGACCCACAGGCCTTTGACCCTGGGTCTCTCCTGAGGCTGGGAACGGAACACCTGACTGGCCCGGGCTTGGGGCGGGGCAGGACCACGTGCGCGGGGCCCGGCGGCGTGGGCGCAAAAGGCGCACCTGGGGCTCTGTACACACGTGCTCTGTTCACGAAGGGCCAGGAGTCGCTCGGACTCGCCCATCCCTCGGCGTTCCAGCAGGCTGGAGGGCTGCAACTCCCACCCCACCCGGGAGGGGGCGCGGGGCCCGGCGGCGCCGTGGGAGGCGGAGCCCGGAGGGGTTGGTCCGGGGGGCCGGGATAAGAGCGCTGCGGGTTGCGGATTGCAGCTCCGAGCAGTAGCGGATTGTGACCCTGCGATGTCGCTCGCGCTACTAAGCCTGGCCGCGCTGTGCTGGAACGCTGCGTACCCGGAGCCGGTAAGCCCCCTCGGCACCCCTTTCCGACGTTCCGGTCCCTTGCGTCGGACCTGAGTGCGCCGGACCCGCCCGCCCACTTTGCTCCAAGGAGTTTGTGGAGGCCATCTGGAGGAGGAAGGTCTTACACCCTCGGTGCAGCCTCACTGGGCTTCAGAGATCTGTGTCGGGCGGCTCCTCACAGCCCACCGGGTTTAGGCCATGAGGCACCTTGAGTCAGGGGCAAGGAATCGGACAGACTTGGGCTTAGGTTACAATGTGTGCTTTTTGATTCAGTCATGTATATTCACCTAGCCTCAGTGTTCTCATCTGTAAGAGGGGTAATATCTAATTCATCAGGGTCTCCTGCGGAACGACCACCGTGTAGGCAACGCGGCGCACAAAGCCTGGCCCGTAGTCCGTGCTCAATATCGTTACTTGGGTCTTTTCACCAATGGGACACAAGAACTGCCGCTCCGATACCACCCACCCTTTCTGCCACGTTGATTTGTGAACACGCGGGCAGGTTTCCATTCTTTTCCAGTGCCTTGAAGTGTTTAGGAAACCTTCTGGGTCTAAAAACCAAAACGCTCGTCCCCAAAACAGCAATCGAAATTATACTTCTGCTCTCTTAGCATAACACAGAGCATAAAAGCATGATGGTACTTGTTGATGGTTGTAGAAAGACAAATCCCATTCCCTTACCCCAAGAGCTTCAGCTTCCTGTACCCTGTCTCAGTTTGGAAGCCCCTTTGGCCTTTTCCACCAGACAAAGATACCACTACCTTTGCCTTCATTGCTATAAGGCCAACAGTGCGAGTTCTGCAAAGTTCAGAACTGTTACTTTGGTGCTTGTTAAATCTTCCTCCATCGGCTCTTTAACAAGAAAAAAAAAAAACTGATATCCCTCGAATTCAGCTTTAAAAAACAAAGGTGAGTGACTGGTGATGTCTCCCAAATCCAGCTTATTCAAACCATCAAAAGTTTGTCCTATTTATCTTGCAAAGCATTTAGAAAAAAAAAAAAAGTGGAGGCGGAGAGGGGGCAGGTCGCAGACTGGTGGATTTACCACAATGAGTGTTGTCATTGGAACTTACTGCTGCCTAAAGTCATACCTTTTAGGTTTGGTATTTTATTCCAAAGCCAAAGCACTATTTAGTTTTTCTTACAAAAAGGTATGAGTAGTCAACTCCAAATGATTTTAGTAGTGGCCTTTCTTGGATACAGGTATTTAATTTTTTGAAAGCTTTTTAAAAACGGAACCTGATGAAATCACAACTGCATGTGATTTTCTAAATACCTAGGGCAAGTCCTTTTGTATCAGAAGAGAAGTACTTTAAAGAACCCAGGGAGGCTCCATGGGCTGCATTTTTAGATTTCTTCTGTTAATCTCCTGAGTTTAGCATTGCCAACCTTTAACCTGAGAAAACTCAGTTAATATGCCAGACTGTCCTGAAAACCTAGAGTAAAAATTAAGGGTGTAAAGGGGCTTTCATGATGGTCGAGAGTCATCTGCTTGTAGTGGGGAAGGCTGAGGGCCAGAGGCGTTGGGATCTACCTCTGGTCATTAAGGTGGATAGCAGGCTTCAGGGACAGGTGTGCTGATAGTTTAATCTGTGGTGCTTCATAGTTGGCCTACCATGAGAAAGCTCATTCACAGTTTATTCCAAACAATGATATGGAATCAGCTCATCTTTTCTTTGGAAGTTTGTCACTTGTGGACATATTTAAGGAAAAAAGATGTTTTGTCTAATTTATCAAAAGAAGCTTGTCATTTGTTAGCATTTAGTATGACCCTCGGCTTTTTTTTCTTCTCTCTCTTGCAGACTATCCAGTGTGGCTCTGAAAATGGTAGGTACATTAGGGAACAGGTTTTGGGGTTTTACACTGAAAGTATAGTTGGGCTTTTAGGGAGCCCAAATCCAGGCAATAATAGCTCCTTGGCACCCAGGCATAGGGTGAACAACAGCTCTGTTAGCTGCTATGGATGAAGCCTCTCTCTACCCAAGGCAGAATCCCCGGGGAATACAGAAGTGATTCAGATGGGCTGGCTTCTGGCAGGAAGAGAGGGAATCGTCATGCAAGGTGGAGAGTGATACCTGCCACACTGCAGAGGGAGAGCATGTGTTGTGGGAGGGATGGACACTTAGAACTGGGAACAGGAATAAAAGATTATAGAAGACACGGTGTTGAGACAGTAGTGTAGTGTTTGAAGAGTGGGTAGGTTTCTGCCTATGAAATGTGAATGGGGAAGTTGAGCTGGAGGAGAAATGGCACATATATACATATACACACATACACACACGCACACAAACTTAGAATGATCCCAAGTGTGCTGTAGGTCAGGGCCAAGAGGTTGTATTTCTCTGAGGTCAGCAATCACCTCAGCTGCCAGCACCGAGAAATTTCTGGCCTGCCTTCTCAGGAAGAAGGAAGGGCAATGCATTATGAATGGTGATTGATGGGACCGGTCACTTGGAGGAGATGGCATTAACCGGGCCTGGAAGGGAAGTGTCACAGGGCGCGGGGTCTCACCTTTTCCCAGGGCCATCTCCAGAGTGGAAGGTTCAACACGCTCTGACCCCTGGAGACTTACGGGACCTCCGAGTGGAACCTGTTAAAATCACTGTTGAACCACAGGAGTATTCCCTTTTGATGAACATAAGTTGGATACTCCGAGCAGATGGTAAGTTTGCATCAAAGATCAGGCCTAAAGCGTCTCCTGAAGCAGAGCATGCGCAGACTGCAGGGCCCATTAATCCTGTTCCTAGGCGTCTATTTTTGTTGGGTGCCACTGAGTGCATTCTGACTCAGAGTGACTCCATGTGACACAGTAGACTGCCTCTTGGGGCTTCTCAGCTGTCATCTTTATGGAAGCAGACTGCCAGGCTTTTCTTCCATGGAGCTGCTGGGTGGGCTCTAGCTGCCAACCTTTTGGTTAGCAGCTGAGTGCTTAACCTTTTGTGCCACCAGAGCTTCTTCCTAGGCACATACTCAAGAGAAATACATGTTGTTCTTGTTATTATGTTAGGTGCTGTCGAGTCGTCTCCGAATCACAGTGACACTGTGCACAGCAGAATGAAACACTGCCAGGTCCTGCGCCAGCCTCACAATCCTTGCTATACCAGAGAAATACATACTTTAAAAAAAGAACAAAAAAACAATGCTATCAAGTTGATTCCGACTCAAAGCAACCCATTAGGGTAAAGTAGAACTACCCCACTCATAGGGTTTCCAAAGCTGTAAATCTTTATGGAAGCTGACTGCCTCATCTTTCTCCTGCAGAGCAGCTGGTGGGTTCAAATCTCTGACCTTTTACTTAGCAGCCAAATGTTTTAACCACTGTGCCACTAGACCTCTTTAAACTTGCATACATGCACTAAAAGCCACATACTAGAATGTTCACAATACACTATTCATAGTAGTTGAAAATTGGAAAGCACTCAAACATCCAGCAGCAGAACAGAATCATAAAATGGAATCTCATACAGCAGTGAGCATAAACAACCCATAACTATACACAACAACATGGATCAATCTCACAAAGAGGCCAGATTCAAGAATTCTTGTATACACATTTACATATATACTTGCAGTCGTATATACTGGATGGTTCCATTTACAAAAAAGTGCATAAACAGCTAAATTTAAGCAATTACAAGTCAGGAGAGTGATTATTCTTGGTTGTGGAGGAGGTGGAGGAGCTAAAAGCAAGCATGAAAGAGGATCCTTGGGTTGTTGGAATGCTGTTTCTTAACCTTGCTACTGGTTACATGAGTGTGAAAATTCATCTAGTGGTACACTTAACATCTGTGTACTTTCCTACATGTACGTTACATTTCACGGATGAGAAAAGCATGCGACCAGAGATGATTTCCCCCAAGCTAAGAAAAGCTCAGGTAGCAGGTTACTTTCCCACTTCTTGGAGGATGTCAAAAGTCTTGGCATTTCCCCAGGATTATCCTGCGTGGCAACTTGTGATTTATTTTGATGAAACAGTTCTGCATGGGTCTTGGAATAAGCCTTTGAGAGGTAGGGAAAGGGAGCAAAGGGCATTCCAGGAAGAAGGGTCAGCAAAGGTGTAGTCAGAACTGCATGATCTGTGAGGACATGTGGGAGGGTCTTTGTGGAGTTTCCCATGGCCTGTTCCTCTTAAAAGAGACCAGAACACTGCAGAGCTAGAGTCTCCTCTGCAGATATCTCCGAAATCCAGGCACATCTGTGGTAAGGAAAGAGCTTGTGCTTTGGATTTGCATCCTTACACTGCCACTGATGAGCTTTGTAGACTTTGGCAAAGCTCCCTGGAACTGCCCAAGCATCATTTTCCCTATATGTAAACTGGGAACAATAATAGCACCTACCATTTAGGACTGCTGTGAATATATGATCTAGGATGAGGCATGTAGTGTGTAGCATCATGTCTGCCACATAGTAAATACTAAGTTAACCACACCCCTCTTGCCTAACTTTTCAGCCAGCATCCGCTTGTTGAAGGCCACCAAGATTTGTGTGACCAGCAAAAGCAACTTCCAGTCCTATAGCTGTGTGAGGTGCAATTACACTGAGGCCTTCCAGCATCAGACCAGACCTTCAGGCCGCAGGGTAAGCACTTTCAGGCAATCAGCTAGATGCCATTGAGACCCATGCCCTTTGACTGGAGAGCATGGGTGATGTCCTGCATGAACAAGCAGGGGAACAACTACTACACAGAGCTTGGACCAGGATGCTTGGGTTCAAATCCCAGTTTGCTACTTCTCTGCTATGTGCCTTGGGCAAGTCAGCATCCTGGGCCTGTTTCCCCAACAATAAAGTGAGATTTGGATTTAAATTATAAATTGGGTCTAAAATTTTATACTCATCAGATTCTGGGAGTTTCATTGGCAAATTGTATGGAATCCATTCCCCAATCAAACACAACAAGTTACAGCAGTAGTTTAAAGAATACAAGTGTAAATGAAAAGGGCAACACACAAAGGTTTTGTTGCTACACTGCACAGTTGCAGAAATTCAGGGTCCCTTGCTTTGCCTTTCAGTGGAAGTTTTTCTACATAGGCTTTCCTGTAGAGCTGAGCACAGTCTATTTCATTGGGGCCTATAATATCCCAACTGCAAACATGAATGAAGATGGTCCTTCCTTGTCTGCGAATTTCACCTCACCAGGTAAACTTCCTCACTCTTGTTATTCTCTGTCTTGGCAACTACTTGATATGTGGTTAGGTGCAGAGCACCAGAAGCCCTGGACACTGTGTTTGGCCTTGCCATGCTTAGCTTCCTCATCTGTAATATAGACATGATAGGACCCCTGTACCTCACTCACAGAGTAGAGGTTAGGACAAAGTCATGGAAGATACAGGAAAAAGCCCGCTCTCTGTTTCTGTGTTCTAGGCACTGCTGTGCATCATCTTGGTTAAGTCTCCCAACCACCTCAAGTTTGGGAAAGCCCCCTTTTACAGATGAAGACAATATGAGGTTAAATCTTTTGCCCTGGGTTCACACATAGTAGAAGTGAAGCTGGTATTCAAACTGAAGTCCTTCCCGATCAATGCACTTCAGCTACTCTTCATGCCATTCATCCAAAAAGTATGTTCCAGGCTCAGCTCTCCAGCAGGCAATGTTTAACAACAGCGTGTGGCTGGATCTCTGAATATCTGTGGTTTCTTCCCCTGAGCTGTCTGTGAGAGGCAGGGTGGGACTGAATTGAATGCTGGGATTTTTCACCTGCTCTAAGATACAGGACCAGTTTGTTACCATCACACCTGCAGTGTCACAGGGCTTCTGTGAGAATGTGGCAGGATAATGAGAGTGAAGGGCCCCCAGTCCCTCTTCTCTCTCTCAGGCAAAGCATCAAAGCCAAATGGGGCAGCTGCCACCTTGTTATTGTTCTTTGAGATTATGACTCAGAGTATTCTTGGTGCCATACAACTTACTATACAATAGTTTCCAGCTTTTTTCATTTTTTTTAATGACAATAAACCTTTTTTTTTTTTTTCAATAAACTTTTTATTTTGGAATAATTTTAGATTTACAGAAAAGTTGCTAAGGCAATACAGAGAGTTCCCATATAGTTCTCACCCAGTTTCTCCTATTAACATTGTACTTCACTAGTACTGAGCCTGCATTAGTATATTACTTTAATTTATTAATTAATCCAGACTTTATTTAGATTTTATCTGTTCTCCCATTGTGGTAGTCAAACTGTATGTCAACTTGATTGGGCCTAGCTGAGTAGCTGGGCAGGTGGTGGTAGTTATTCCCTATTATGAGACTGGCAATCAACTCCATGATGGGACTTAGGTATGTGATCTGCTTCCCATATGTGAGAAACAGCTTTGGGAATGGTCTCTTGTTTATGGCATGCTTGAACCCTGTATGTAGCCATGTCATTGTTCAGCAGCCTGCCATGCTCTGCTGACTTTGGGACTTTCAATGGACTTAAGTTAATGGCCTGCTGTGTGGTTTGGTAACATCGGGACTGTGCCATTTTATTTGTTGACCTTGGGCTTGTTAGCCTCAGCAGCCAAGTAGCTGCCGGAGTGAAGAGATGCCTCTAGCTTCAGTGGGCCAGGAGCAAGAGGCAGAGCTGAAGCCCAAGCTCACGGGGCTTTCACACAGCCCCTAAAACCTAGCACTTTGAACATGGACTTCTAGCCTCCCAAACTATAAAGAATAATCTCCTGTTTGTTCAAGCCATCCCATTTGTGGTATATTCTTGTCAGAGCGGCACTAGGAAACCAGAACACCCATTAATGCCTTTTCTGTTCCAGGATCCACTCCAAGGAACTACTTTGCATGTGGTTGTTTCTCCTTAATCTCTCCCGTAGCACTTCCTCTGTCTTTCCTGGTTTTTCATGATTTTGCCTACAGGTCAGCCATCCTATAGAATGTCCCCCAACCTGGGTTTGTATGCTGTTTGTCTCATGATTACACTGGGGTTGTGGGTTTTGAGTAAGAATACTATAGAGGTGAAGTGCCCTTCTATCACACCTTATCAGGAGGCACATGCTATCCACATGACATCACTGGTGATATGACCTTCACTGCTTGAGTGAGACCGTGCTTACAGGTTTCTCCCCTATAAAGTTACCATGTGTCCTTTGCCAACTCTGTTCTTTGGAAACAAGTTCCTAAGTCTACTCTACCCTGGATGAGGGGGGTGGTTGGTAGAGGGTTAAGCGCTGCCTCTAGAAGGGGCAAGTATCTGATTATATTACCAAACCCCACTTTCAAAGGATGTGGCATAGTGCCTAAGGCATTTGACTGCTAACCAGAAGGCTGGCAGTTCAAACCCACCAGCCACTCCTTGGAAGGAAAACTGGCCAATCCGCTTCCATAGAGATACTGCCTCAGAAACCCAAGGAGCGGTTGCTATGAGTTGGATTTGACTTGATGGCAGTGAGTTTGGTTTTTTGTTTTGTTTTGTTTTTGTGGTTTCTAGTCAGTCTTGCCTTGGAAACCCAAGGAGAGGTCGCTGTCGGTCAGAGACAACACAATAGCACACCACCACTACCACAGTCAGTCTCCCAAGTCTTCACTTGGGCATCACAGGAACTGTTTGGACAAAGGTTGAATTAATTTAGACTCTGGTTATCACTTCGTGGACAGGTAATCTTCTGTTTGATAGTAAAATGTTGGTGTCCCATTTAAATTTGCTATCTTACCTCACATGTGGAATGTCCTGCCAATTTGTTGCAGATGTAGTAAGCATACATGTGCACTTGTTGCCAAAGTGTGGAGGTGGAGCAGACATCCGTTTGTAAAATGTAAAAACTTTCATTCAAATTTCCAGGCTGCCTAGACCACATAATGAAATACAAAAAAAAGTGTATTGAGGAAGGTGAGTAAACACAATGTTTGCTTTTGTTATTAGAAGGAAACCATAACTCGAGCCAGTACTGCTGAATCCATCACATTACAGAGGAAGACAAAGAGGTCCAGAGAGAGGAATTACTTACCCAAGGCACTAAGACAGGGAAGGCAGGAGCAGCTGGGTACCTTACTCCCCACCAAGCGCTCTTCCCCACTGAATCGAGCAGCCTGTCTGAGGAAGGAAAGATTCTTAGTAGGCTGATAGAGTGAATCAAGGTCACATGAAACTGCCCCTTTAGGATAATGAGTCCCAAGGGTCTAATTTCCAATGAGTTGTGTTCATTTCTAGGTGATAAAGTCTTAGAAAGCAGCTCTAGTGGTATAGTGGAAAAGGCATTTGGCTGCTAACCAGGTCAGCAGTTCAAACCCACCAGCTGTTCTGTGGAAGGATTTGGGTGATGTGTTTCTGTAAAGATTTATAGCCTCAGAAACCCAATGTGAATCACTATGTGGGAACTGACTCGATAGCAGTGAGTTAGGTTAATAGTCTTAGAATGCTAATGAGGCTAGAGGTATTGAGGGGGATCAGTACCCATCTTTTAGGCACCTAGCCCACAGGCACCCCCTTTCCACCCTGTCACATTCCTGTTGAAAGGCAGACTTGGAGATCTGTGTTTCCACTCCTGCCTCCCATCCACTGAGAGAGCTATAGGGCTGTGAAAGGATGCTGGAGGTGTGAGAAAGTCTGAGGGCCTTTGATCAATTCTAGCCCTGAACTCTTTGAGACAGTTCTGCACTAGGGCCTGAAATGATCTAGGAAAGCAAAATAATTCGTGTATTTATCATCTTCCTGGAAACTAACTTAATCCTTATTTGCAAGTCACCTGAATGAAACAACTGACTTTTTCTGTCAGAGTCAACCTGTCAGATAGCTCCTAAGCTATGAGGGAATCACTTATTCATACTGTAAAGCCAGCAGAATGGTCTGATGGATGAAGCTCCTGAAACCCATAATGTTCTAGAAGTCATAGTGCTGAACCTAAATTCAGTTGCTCTATGGTCTTAGTCATGTTCCCTAACCCATGACTCCTCCTTCCCAGCCTGGAAAGGAGAAAGTACTGATGTCAGTCCTTAACTTAAAACAGATGTTGACCACAGATGTTACTAGTAGAACATAACCTGTGGGTCCTACCACCCTCAGCCCAAGGATGCTACTTTTAGCAAAGCCATGACATAGGGGCTCAACTTTCTTGGACAGCAGGCTCTTTGAGATTCCTGAGGTAGTGATAAAAAGTACACTGTGTAGTCAAGTCCCTATCTCTTGGATGTGTGACTGAGAACTTAGATTTGTTGTTGTAAAGTCCTTTGATGATTTAAAAAAGAGCAGCTCATCTATGGAATTCTCTCTTCACTCACAGGAAGTCTGTGGGATCCAAACATCACTGCTTGTAAGAAGAACGAGAAGACAGTAGAAGTAAATTTTACCACCAGTCCCCTTGGAGACAGATACCTGGCTCTCATCCAAAATAAAGCTGTTCTTGGATTTTCTACTGTGTGGGAGGTACCTTTTCACCCTCATTCCCTTCACATCACCCCCACCTTCAACATCCAGCTGTCCTTACCTTATTGAAGAATGTGGACCCTCCAAGGGAATACAGATTTTCTTCACATCCTCTTGAGAGAGCAGAGGGCTGTCTGTCAACAAATTTTAAGTCCCTGTGGGCAACTTTGGAAATGTCACTGTGAATCTAAAACCAACCAAAGGTAGCAGTTTTAGTAGTATGAAATAAGTCCTATTCAAACAAAGTCTAATGAATTAAAAGTTGGTTTGGGAAGAGTGGCTTCTTCACTGGCAGTCTTAGTCTCTATTCCCTCATATGGCTTCATATGGCTTATAACCCTTTACTGTGTCTCACTAACCTGCACAGAACAAACTAACCCGGACTTCTGTGGTGATCCCAGTCACCGGGGAGAGTGAAGGTGCTGTGGTACAGGTAGTTTAATAAGGTTGTTTGGGGTGGGGAGGGGCGCAAGACTACTCTGCCATAAATTGCTTTTGATGAGTCCTTTTAAAGTTGAAGACGAGTTCTCTAATATTCTTCTGCCAGCATTCCCACAGTGACACTCATGGGGAAATCCTTTGTCTCAGTCTTCACAATGGTGAGGAAGTCAGAAAGCTGACTGTTAATGTCCCAAAGTACTTTAATTTCCATTTTTTGGCACAGAGCTCAGAGTATTTCTGAGAGTGCCATTTTACCGTCCCAAGCCTCAGTTTTAACTGCAAAATTAAGGGTCAAAGGATTTGAAACCAGAAATTCTGGGTTCCAGATCAGTCTTTGAGCTCTGGAGAGCAACTGCCTATCCTCTCCAGCCTCAACTCACTTCATCAGACAACAAAGTTGGACTAGTAAATGCTCTCAGGTCTCCTTCAGCTCTTAGTTTATTATGTGGAGACATGGAAGGTCCCCCCCAGGACACAGCCACACCCAAGGTAGTACAGACCTTTTTGTTTCATTCCTTGGAACATGAATGCTGTGCTCAGACACACTAGAGAGTGCAGAAACCTGTTAGCATAAGACTGCACCCCTTTTCTGAGGAAGCACAGATGTTCCTAGTCTCAGGAGACCTGCATGTTGTAAAGAGCTGGCTTAAGTCAACAATGAACTCTACTGCTCTGCTTTTTTACAGGAAATATTTGTGTATGTATTAGGAAGTGCCCCAATCCTTTTAGATAAGGAAGCCAACTAATTAGTACAGCATACAAAGTTTAGGTTCAGAACCTAGGAGTTTTGACTTGGGTCAATGGTTTGGATTTTTGGGTTTTGTTACAGAATGGGAGCAAGGAAAAATGTGTCCTGTTACAATGTTAGCAGTGGGGGTGAAACCAGGAAAAAAAAGAGAAGACAAATTTTGATGGCAGTAATAATGATGTTGATATTTTGCTCTGAAGCATGGTGTGAACTGAGCCTCTTTTTCTTCAGCTGGCTCCGTATTTCCGTACTTGTGGCCATGACTGCATCCGACACAAAGGAACTGTTGTGCTTTGCCCCAAGAAACGTCTTCAGAACTCTCTGGATAATAATGGTAAGTACCCAGTCACTTTCACAGGATGTAAAAGAGGTTCAGGACACAAAGGACCCAACAAGCATCAGCCACCCCTTTCAGTCTAATAGGGGCTGTGTTGTCTGTGACTTCCTGCTGTGTGTGCTGAACTGGGTGCAGAGGAAGATGTCACTGCCACCCCAAAGAGCCTATGATCTGAATGATCATGACCCTTTACAAGGCAGGACATGCACAAGTAGATTGGGGATGGGGGAACAGTGCAAAATGGGTGTTCAAAGTGCCATGGAATCTGCTGGAAAAAGGACTGAGTATACAAAGGAACATGCAGTTCACTGCATTTTAATTTCTCTTATCAGTCTGTGGCCTAGGCCTAGGTGTTATTATGATGTGATGTGGTCGTCACACAGCCAACATTTGAATGACAAATCAAGAATCAAAAAGATATACCTTGATTCAAAATCATTAAAAAAAAAAAGGGGGGGGGGGGGGGGAGGACCAGGTTTGCTGGTCTGATAGAGCCTGGTAGAACCTGAGACTATGGCCCCTAGCTGCCCTTCGGGTCTGGAATTGAACTCACTCCTGTGGCTTCCAGCCAAACAAAAGATAGGCATATGAGCTGAACATTAACATTAGGTAGATACACTCCTTGGAGAGATCACTCATGGGAGAACAGAAGGACTGTGTATGCACAGGGAGACAGCTCAACGGAGAGGAATGCATAAAGGGAAGCACACAGGGAAAAGGTAATTATGGAGAGGAAGTGGGAGGGAGCTGTTGCCCTGTGGGATATTGCAGTCAGTGCCATGAGACAAGATGTGTGGAAACTGCTGTATGGAAGATGAATTTGCTCTGTAAACTTCCGCCCAAATCACATTTAAAAAAAAAAAAAAAATAGATACACCTCAATGGTGCCTGAGAACATCATGTTCTGCCAAATGTCTCTGTACTGAGATGTTTTAGTTCTTCCATTATAGATGGACAGGTGAAGTACCTCTAGACTAGCTCAGGGATGGGTCAAAAGTTAGAAAGTGTTATTCTCAAATATATCAGCCAAACAAACTGAAAAAAACCCAGGGGTTAACAATCCTGACTATGGCTTCCTGAGCATGTTTGTGTGTGTGAGCTTGCTTGATCATCGACATTCTTGTGAGGGAGTAGCAGTATGCCCCATACTTGTCAATCCCAACAAGACAGCCTTTAATAAACGCCAACTGTATGTACTATGTATGTAACTGTACCCAGAGTAACATTAATTCATCAAAGAACAAACAACTGAATGCAAACTCTGGTTACCACAGTGAAAATGCCTGTGTGTATGTGGGTGGAGTAAGAAACCAAAATGATTTTAGAGAACTGTCTCTTAATCTCCAGGGTCTTACCTGGAGATTTTTAAGAATCTAATGAAGGATCTGGATAGTTTATAGAAAAACAACTATCTGCAGACCCCCTAGAGATCTACTAACCTCTGCTTTGAAAGAGATCAAGCTTCTACATACTAGAGTGAAATCTTTAGTTTTCAAGTAGAAGATAAATTAGCTTTTCATTTTCTAGAGGTAAATAAGCTTTTGTTTTCCCCAGACAGAACAGTGTTGGGAGGCTGGCTGCCTCTCCTCATGGCTCTACTGGTGGTCACATGGGTGCTGGTGGTCGGAATCTACCTACTGCAGAGGCATGGTAGGGTTATACTTCAATTCTTAAAGAAACTTTAAGGAAATAATGTGTCAAGTGTTTTAAAGGCTATTCCTCCAGAGGTGGTTGCATTTTGGCATTTCCCAGAGTTAGACTCCATTTATTTAATGCCTTAAAGTTCCCCCATAAAACTATGTGATGATGTCTGAGTCACATCTGCCAAGAACACCAACTTCAATCAGGGATCAGAACCTCAAGGTCTGGTGACTAGCACCTGTCTCATTTTTACCAGTGAGGCATCTACAAGAAGTACAGAAATGGGCAAAAAATTGCTAATGATGAATTGCATTTTACCTATGATAGGTATTCTATGCTACTTCCTATTTTAAAAAGTAGTTCTTCTAATACTTAAGAAAAACATTAATTTGGGTTCATATGCTCTCTAAAGTCCTGTGGACACTAAAACATAGAATATATGAATACAAAAATCATTATTTATATAGTTATATACCTAGAGGCAAACTCATTTAAAAAAAAAATCTGCTTCTCCTCTTCTCCACATACAGAAAAGCACATATGAATCTACCTTTTGAGTCATTTGTGATGTTGTAGATAGAACACGATTAATCCAACATTCTCAGCCAAAAAGCCATGTGGAGCTTCTCTCTCAGGAGTAGTTCCATCTAAATGAAGCTCTCTGACTTGTATAAGTTACAGTAGTTTCAGTTTCTGCTTTATAGGACAATAGAGCAGAACTTCACAGTTAAGTACCAGAGGTTGAAATGTGTACCATCCAACTTTATTGAACTATAAGGAAACTCTACCCCCTGCAGGTAGAAGATGGTACAAACAGGTGAGTTGACCCGAGTCAAAACATGTCATGAAGTGCAGATTTCCCCAATTACATATAAAACTAAAAATACTGAAGTTAAAACCAACCCACCTAAAACAAAGTATCTTAAACATGAAAGTTTCTACAGATTTATTTGAAAAGCTGTGGCATGGTTGAGAGGACTACTTTAGTGATAGGGACACATCTTTTAAAACATCTGTGTTTCAGGTGATGAATTCAAAAGCACTAGCCAGGATATTTTCCTCCCTGTTTAGCAGGAACAAGGTCCCTGGTGCTCAGCCATCAGTCTCTAGTTAGGGACCATTTATCAGTGATAGGTTGGACTAGCATGAAAGCCTGATGCTTGCTATTCACAGATAAAATGCTTTTGTCCCTCACAGAAAAGATCAAGACAACATCCTTCCCTGCAACCACGATACTGCCTCCCATTAAGGTTCTTGTAGTTTACCCATCTGAAATATGTTTCCAACACACAGTCTGTTACTTCACTGAATTTCTTGAGAGCCACTGCAGAAGTGAGGTCATCCTAGAAAAGTGGCAGAAAAAGAAAATAGCTGAGATGGGCCCAGTGCAGTGGCTTACCACTCAGAAGAAAGCAGCAGATAGAATAATCTTCCTTCTTTCCAATGATGTCAACACCGTGTGTGATGCTACTTGTGGCAAGAATGAGGGCAGTGCCAGTGAGAACTCCCAAGACTTGTTCCCCCTAGCCTTCAACATCTTCTGCAGTGATTTAACAAGCCAGATTTGTCTGCACAAATACATAGTGGTCTATTTTAGAGAGGCTGATACTGAAGATTACAGTGCTCTCAACGTCTGCCCCAAGTACCACCTCATGAAGGAGGCCACTGCTTTCTGCAAAGAACTTCTCCACATCAAGCAGCATGTGTCAGCAGGGAAAAGGTCACAAGCCTGCCACAACTGCTGATCCTGCTCATAGTACACCCATGAGGAACAAGAGAGGTTGAAGCCTTTCTCTGCCACCACGTTTCCGTTTCCAAGGAGGAAAAAGCATTTGTGATGATCTTACAGTACAGCCTACTTGTAGGGAAGATCATTATATACCTGCTTTAGCAATAAGACTATGAAGGACTCATACTGAATGCATTTGTCTTAGTTTAGTAATTAAAACTTTAGGCCAATAATTATTACAAATACCACCAACTACCATAGCATTAACTAAAAAATTGGAATTAAATTTAAAATCTTAAATCAATTTTATATCTAAAAGTCAAGAATATCTGTGATGGAAACCACAACCATTCTGTGATAAAACACCTCCAGCCAAATGCCTAGTCTTGAATGCTACATGCACTTCACTGTAGGCAGAAGTGTTTAGCTTGGTAACAGACTAATTAAAGAATTCCAAATGTTAGAAGCCTTTGCTAATTCACTCATAGCTTATTAGCTGAAAAACCCTTTGTTGCACGTAAAAGTCTTCATTTTTCAGAAAACCAAAGTAGGGCATAAATTGAACCCACTTCTACTGACCAGACGATGCAATGTGTGTATAATTACTTGCATTATTTGATATTTGCATAGGACTTTCCCTCTCTGAAATAAATTCATGCCCTATGTGACCCTGGAGCAAGCAACTAGTACTGTGAACACAAAAATACACGATCTGCAGACTAACATCTACTCTTATTCTACGTTACCTAATAGAGATCACTGTCATCAGCGTTCTTAGGCTTTCTCAGTTATTATGCAGTTTTTCATGTTCAAAACAAAAGCAATTCTTAAGCTGACTATTAGCACTCTAAAGGTGATTCATCTTTTTATAAGGTATGTGTTTTATTTAAGCAAAAGGCAAAAATTATTAAGTTACAGAAGTTTGTGATATTTTAAATCTATTTTTAATTTTTCTAAAAGCATCATTTTCTTAATGCAGAGATTACAAAAAATATTTATATTAGCATATATATTTTTCTAGGAACATTTGTCTCTTTTCATATTGACTCTGCTCTGGAATGTGAATCAATTTCACATTAAAGGACCGTGTCATTCCTAATACACACCTTATATATAAAATGAAAACTCAAAGTAGTATAGAGTGAAAACTCATCACGTCTAGCTTCGCAAGTGATACTTAGTAATGTGTTTAATGTGGTAAAGCTCACTTACATGCTGTAAGCACTGGAAGTAAGAGATCGACAAGGCTTAACATCAAAACTTAGACCAAAACCCAACTTCCTATGAATTACCATCTAACAGTTGTGACAGCAATATGCTCCTATGTGAAAAGCTATTATAAGTGGAAATATACTTTTGGATATAGGTAACCCATAGTAAATTGTGTTGAAACAGCCCAGAAGCACCATGTCAGTATTGTATGAATTTATTTTGCTCTGAAATCAAAAAATGTAAGACAGTTTTTAAGTTGAAGGCACATATCCAAAATGGTATTAGCAAGTTGAAATTATTTTGTTACATTTGTGGACTCTTTTTTCTTCCTAACCTAATGAGCAGACATATATGACGCTTTTATGTATGTAAAATACTTTGCTGTTGTTAAGTGCCATCGAGTCATCTCTGACTCATAGCAACTCTATGCACAGCAAAACGCAACACCACCCAGCCCCAGGCCAGCTACACAATCCCTGCTATATATACTTGAGCCCATTGTTGCAGCCACTTTGTCAATCCATCTCATTGAGGGCCTTCCCCTCTTTCATTGACCTTCCAGCTTACCAAGCATGACATCCTTCTCTAGGGAATAGTCCCTTCCAATAACATGACCAAAGTAGGTGAGACGACGTCTGGCCATTCTCGCTTCCAAGGAGCATTCTGGCTGTATTTCCTCCATAACAGATTTGTTAGTTCTTTTAGCAGTCCATGGTACTTTCAGCATTCTTTGCCAGCACCACAACTCAAAAGCATAAATTCTTCTTCAGTCTTCCTTATACACTGTCCAGCTCTCACATGCATATGAGGTGACTGAAAATATCGTAACTTGTGTTAGGCACACCTTAGTCCTCAAGGAGACATCTTTGCTTTTCAGCACTTGAATGGGGTCCTTTGTAGCTGATTTGCCCAGTGCTATACATCATCTGAGGGAACTCTGGTAGCATAGTGCCTAAGGCACTTGACTGTTAACCAGAAGGCTGGCGGTTCAAACCCACCAGACACTCCCCGGAAGGAAGGTTGGACAATCTACTTCTGTAGTGATACCGCCTCGGAAACCCAAGGAGAGGTTGTTATGAGTCTGGTCCAACTCGACAGCACATAACACCAACAACATACGTCGTCTGATGTCCTGACTGCTGCTTCCATTGGTGTTGACTGTAGGAGCAAGCAATATGAATTTTTTGACAACTTCAGTCTTTTCTCCATTTATTATGCTGCTACTTATAGGTCCAGTTGTGAGGATTTTTGTTTTCTTTATATTGAGATATAATCCATACTGCAGACTGTATTCTTCAGTCTTCATCAGTAAGTGCTTCAAGTCATCCTCACTTTCAGCAAGTAAAACTGTGTCATCAACGTATCGCAGGTGGTTAATGATTCTTCCTCCAATCCTGATGCCACGTTCTTTATATAGTCCAGCTTCTTGGATTATTTGCTCAGCATATAGATTGAGTAAGTATGGTGAAAGAATACAACCTGATGCACTCCCTTCTTGATTTTAAACCTTGTTCTGCTCGAATGACAGCCTCCTGATCTATGTACAGGTTCCTCATGAGTACAACTAAGTGTTCTGGAATTCCCATGCTTCTCAATGTTATCCACAATTTGTTATGATCCACACAATCAAATGCTTTTGTATAGTGAATAAAACACAAGTAAACATCTTTCTGGTATTCTCTGCTTTGAACCAAGATCTATCTGACATCAGCAATGATATCCCTTGTTCCATGTCCTCTTCTGAATCCAGCTTGCATTTCTGGAAGTTCTCTGTCAATATACTGCTACAACTCGTGCCAGCATTTCTCCTTGTCCTAAGATTTCTGACCATCTTTCTCATTTCTATATTCCATTCTCATCTCTTTCACTTCTTCCTCTGCTTGTGTCTTTCCCTGTGAGATGGTGGAAGCAGGTGCATAACAGTGAGTGTGGCATCATCCCACCCCTCTCCTCTGACCTCTAGGCTGTGCTCACTGACTGGTTCCTGACTCAGCACAGTTCCTTCTCCTTTGGCTGCAGGCGGAGAGGCCTCACTGAGGCCTGGCCAACAGAGATTGGTAGCTGTGTTACTTACATTTTCTTTGGTTTGCTCAGTTTAAGGTCAACTGATCGTATCAAACATAAGAACACTCTAAAAGTGCTTACTTAGTTTTTCAGGTAGAGGTATATGTGGGGACTTAATGATTAAGTTGGTAGGAATTACAGCTTAGTCAACTTGTTTCCTGTACAAGTTTACTCTAAATTGTACTTAAATCATTTGTATTTGGGTTTAGGAAGGAAATATGACTTCCTTTTTCCCTTTTATTCTGTGTTGGTCAAATAATTGTTTTCTTTCCCCAAGCCCACCCTAGACCATGACAGATAACACAAGCCAGCCCAGCCTTAAATCCTCTCGTTGCATGAGACTGCCTACTGATGCTTAGAAAAAACTTAAATAATGACCTCAATACATGAGATCTGTTCAACAGCAACATTTTACATCATCAGAAAGTATATGAGATCTTGAGAACAGGGCAGGAGAGTTTATAAGTGAGAAGTTGGCATTTATTCTCAATTATATAAAAACAGCTTTAAATTTCAAACCAATGTCATGTGTTCAAAGTTGAAATTCACTTCTTGTCCATAAAACTTAAACATGTAGGCTAATAAATTAAAATACATATATTCAGTAAGAGTCTTTTATACCCCCGAGGCTTGTTTCTTGTTTTCAATAGCGACCTCCCCTTCTCACCACACGAAGGCAGCTCGCTCTCGTAACATGCGGACACCAAAGCGCTGCCATTCTCTCTGATAAATCCACAGTTCCTGTGTCGTATCCAAACAGGCTAACACTGCCCCTCCTTTCCATGCAATCAGCCGGGGATCCATGTCCTGAAGAAGTAATAAGGGTATTTCAGCATAAAGAAGCTATTCAAGATGTATATATAATCACTTATTTGAACTAGGGTTAGGGGACCTGTCACAGCAATACCCAGAAAGCCAGATTGTCAACCTATGTGTCCCATGAAACTACACACATCTCATTCAAGTGACAAGAAATTACAAAAATCTTTATTACTGAAGATGCTAGTTTAATGGTTATTCCACAAGTAGTCAGAACCTAGAGACAGGAATATTAATGAGGAACTAGCTTATTTTGAAGTTTGAGTGGCATAAATATATATCCCTGCAATTACTCCCTCAATAAAGAATACTGCCCAGGAGTTTTCATAAAATAGGCCATCTGTTTCTAAATACCTGGATTTAAGATGCTTTTCAAAAACAAGCAATATAGTTTAAGTCAAAAGGTCCTTCAAGACTATCTGCTCCAGGCACGTGCAGTAGATCATTAATATGAAGAAAGAAAAACAGAGCTGTTGTGGTAGACAGTATGAGGCCAGTCTTCTCCTGCCCCAGTTGGTCCTTTTATAAAGGCAAGACTCAAGCATACTGGCCTAGAGAGCAAAACAGGGCTACAACCCCTAGTCCAGAGTCCCTTCCACTGTATCTGTGACCTGCTGAGTTATTTTTCCACTTGCCTCAATCCCTCAAGAATTCCTTAGACACAAGCCCATGCCCCCTAGGATTTTATCTGTCTACATATATTACAGTTAGAAGTAATCAAAGCTGTTTTAACTCACACACACAGTCCAATCTGCACCATGAAAAACAAACCTTAGGCCTTGTAATCACATCCACATTTTCAATAATTCTCCTGAATGAGGGTGGCATTTTGTTGAGTATTCTGTGTTGCAGGAATTCTTGAGCTTTGTGAAACATCAAGCCACCTCCCACCACCAGGATGGAGCTGTACATCTTCTTTTT